CATACTATAGCCCAGTCGTAATGTAAACGCAGACCAAGATCGAGTTTATGATGGAACATTGAAAGCACATCACATGGCAAAACCATCAAGCATGGTTTACAATAAAATACACAGAGCCTATGTATAATTTAGCAGCTGGTTTTGGGGTTTATGTCTCGTAAGTTGTATAAGCAATTAAATATAGATACAACATTTAATGTATTTTATCAACTCATTTAGAATAGTTTTAAGATGTAAAGCCTATTTATTATTATTAATAACAATATTTTATTATTATATTTTAGTATTATCTTGTCCACTTACCAGTTATAGAAACTATTGTTTTTCCCACACAGTATTATGAAATAAAACATAAAAGAAACCTTTAAAATGGTGCAATTTTTACCATTTTACATACATCATTCAGGATTTGGAGTGACTCGAGACTGTAAACTGATCATGTCTCTAGGATGAACAAAGCAAACTCAAAAGAAAGAAAAACACCCCTTGGGCTGTAAACAGCAAAGACTAAAAGCAACAGCAAAAACAAAACATAACATGTGTTCAGATCCTGAAAAGAAAATCCCCTTTTAATCCTGCTAACTGACAGCCAGCAGCTAGAATGCTAATCCACAGCTACAGTGCTGTTGTCACAGCCCGGCAGGTGCCTGTTTGGCCTAATCGCACCTAAACATGGTGGCAGTGATGGACTGATACTGTGAAATGACCCCTGAAAACTGCATGAATCCTACAGTTTAAGGAGACCCCAGGAAGGGATGCTAGTTTATCACAGTGTGGGTAATTTTAGGGAAGTTGACTTATCTAAAATGCATCCTTGGTTGAAGGGAAAACAAGTTCTATTACAAGTTATATTTGCTGTAAGATGACTGTTAACTAATGTTAGATAATGACCTGGCTGCTCTACAGGCACACTTGATAATGACCCAGGTATTAGTCAGGCATAGTTCCTTAAGACCTAGCCATGATACAATTGTATTTGCTGCTGAACCAGATGGGTTGAGCTGTTGACTTATGAGGAGGCAGCTTGTGATTAACATTTGAGAACAGGAATCATTCTGAGTGCCAGTGATCATGAGACTGTAAAAGTAGCTAAACTGGGGCAGCTACAGCTCTGTCAGGATCAGTGTCTATCTGGCCCTGTCCTATTTGTTTTGTCCTCATTTGGCCAGCAGGTGTCACTGGCCATAAAATTCCCTCTGTCCCGAGTGTGTTTCCTTGTTCCCTGGACTGCTGTGTAGCTCTATGGGCTGATTGAGTGGCTTAGAAGCTGGCATCTCTCCAGCTATGGATTTGAGGCTGGCCAAAGGCCTGCTTTACCTTTTGTTTAATTTATTGAGTTTTATTTTATCCTTAGCATTTGGTTTTGTTTATCTCTGTCTTTGCTTTGTGTCCTTGTTTTTGGCAGCCTCATGTTTCCAGTGGTGGTTGGTTAGATACCTGCTCACAGCTTGGTGTGCATGGAGTTTGTGCGTTCTTCCTGTGTTTTTGCTGCTTTTCTCTCGCTGTTGAAAAGCATGTAGTTTGGTGAATTGGTGACTCTGAATTGTCCTTGCTGTGCGGTTATGTGTCCTATCAAGCACTGACATCCTGTCCAAGATGTCCACGGCCTTGTGCACTGTGCTTCTCTGGATAGGCTCCTGCCTCACAGCATGCCTACACTGCAATGCAGTTCTGGAAATCCTGGATTTTTTTTTCCATTTCCCAGGTTATGTGATTGCATTTCTAATGACAAATTAGAACAATCAAACTATGAACAATGTTTTAATAATTACATTTTCAAAGGACATGTCTCACAAATGCTTACTATGTGCACACTGTCCACTTTCGACTGAGGAGCCACATTGCTCTTGACTCAATGGTTGAGCCAAGAAGGGCTGCAAAGAGGTGAAAGATTAAACATTTCCTAAGTGTCAAGCAAAAACATCTAACCACACAAAGTACAGTACAGCTGTTTGACATAGCAGGGTCTCTGACTTTCATGCTTGACTTCTTGAAACAAAAAAACAGATATTGATATGTTTGTAGGATTCTAGAACTGGCTGATATACAGTAAGGCATGAAAGAAAGGCATGTAGAACAGCAGTGGCTTATGGGTAAGTAGAAAGATGGGGCCATTTGGGACCAAGTCAGGTTATTTTTATCAGGAGCACTGTCTAGCCCGGCCTTCAGAAGGCCTTGGAAAACTTCCACATTCATGAGAACACTACAAGTCCAACAAACAAACCCCAAACTGAAGTCCCTGTGATCAGCTGAATTCAGCCCGTCATGCTTTATGACAAAGGTTTGTAAACTTCACTCCCTTAAGTGAAGTGCCAGTACAGAGGCTCATGTTCCAAGGAACTCTCAGCATAGTACTGCATGGGGAAGTGTGACTGCTGTAAACAGGCTCTTTAATATGAGCTTTCAGAAGAAGAGCATAAATTCAGTGACTAACACTTGACTTTATTTCTGCTACAATCATAAAACCTCTGCCGTACTTCTGAAGCAGGTATACATGGTAGCCCGTATAAAATATGCTTATATACTACTGGGAGTATTGGGAGATATATCCAATTTGGTATAATCCATTCTTAATTATACCTTATATATAATTTGCAGATTAAGATATGATTCTTTATTGATAACTTCTTCCCATCCGCTTTTCGGGTTTATTTAATTATACCCTGGCCAGTTCAATTCTTTACCTGTTTATCATTTGAAGCGACCAGACATTTTTACCAGCTCTCTCATGCAAACACACCACTCTAAGCCATCTACCTTTTTCCCTACTTCTGACCAAAATCAGCACATTCAGGACAATTAGAATAAACCGGGAGTTCTTTGCATTTTTGAACATGCTGCACTCAAACCACTGAATCTTCACCGAATCCTGGATGACCCATGTGAAGCCTTGGTTCAGAAACTTGCCCTGCATGATAAATGGAACTCAAAGTCCCAGGAGCTGGGGGGGGGGGGGGGGGTGCGGGTTGGGTAGGGACTGCCCTCATTCTCACTCTCTGTGTGCTGTGGGTGACCTTGCATCGCCTCGGCCACCCTGACACATGAACAGAATGCACAGGCCATGCTGTACTTGGACTAACGTGAGTAGAACAAGAGGACAAAAACACCTCACAAATCAATCATCTCTTACTGCATTGAACCTAGATTATACAATTGTCTTTTTTTTGTTTAAGTTACAGATTACTGTAAGCTACAATAAAATGAGTTTGCATGTAGGTATACAGGGCTTTGCCACAGCCAGAGAAGTGCATTGTAAACAGTTCTGAGAAACTGGGCTCTGTTTGAGGAAGCAGATCCACATTTGACCAAGTCAGGCCAAGATGTCTCTCACATTGGGGGAGGGGCAACAGGGGTGGGGGACCCTCTTGGTAGGATTTGCTGACCTGGGGAAGGGCCGGTTCTTGGTAAATTGTTGCAAATTCATCCAAAGGTACACTTTGTAAAATTTGCCTCCACCCCCCCCACCTCCTCTGCTACTGAGCTGAGCTCTGAACCGGAACCAGACTGTCAAACAGGAAAGTGCTTCTTGCTGCCCGTCCTGTCAGCTTGCACTTTTGAACCATATACAGTAAATTATTATTAATCTGTGCTTATTTACATGCAGACAATGTAGCCTGTTCCTCACAATCTTCTTTTGACAGCTCATATGGGCTACTCTAAAAATACACTAGCTTGCTTCACCAGATAATTCAATTTTTTTTCGTTTTGTTTGTTTAGTGAATGCTGAAACTGCTACATCACCTCCTGACTCATGTTACCCACAATTCTAGGCTGCATTATTTCCTCCTGAATTTATGTTATTTTCCAATTCAGACCCCTCCTTTAATAACCTGTGAAAACCTGCATTTGGTTTAATGTCTTTGTATTTTCCTACCAAACAGAAACAGCTAGGTTAAAATGTCACATCTGGATATCAACATCACAGCTATTCCAGTGCTGCGTTACAGTCTGTAGGTTCCTGTAAAAATCAGAATGTTGCTTATTAAATATCTCACTCTGTGGTACAACAGCAGTGCCCTTGTATACAGAAATTTGGTGCCGTGACACAGCACTGGGCCATTCTGCACACTTTGTAACCATAAATGATAACTGTCACAATTTAATAATGTCAAAAATCATTTTTAATGTATGCTACAAGAAACATAATTATTATGGATTAGACCTTTGTATAAGGTAATTACATTTTCACTTTGGCGAGACTGAATTAGAACATTAAAAAACTGCAAATTTTTAAAGACACATTGAGTTTAGATTTTTCGCGTAAGACCCATCGGTGTAATTTCTATATTCGAATATTAAAATTTACAAAACTAAACATGTATGTCTCCGGAGCAGCTGTGTTAGGGACAGGGCCATATCGTACCATGAACGTGTTGTCACTATAATGACAATGGCGTCATTGTCTGTTAGTATGGACAGTTCGGAAACAAAATCGCACGATTAAAACGAATTTGCAACACTCTTAGACTGGGTCAACATCACACATCCGCACATGCCTAACTGGCAGAAAGCCATGGCGGTAACCTAAACCATGTGGGAGGAGGGTGGGAGGGGTTCTAAGGTGTACTGCCTGCACTATTGTAACCCCCCTCCCCCGCCAAAATAATAATAAAAAACTTCTCGTCAAGAGCAGGCCAATAGAAAATATAAGTATATTTGCGTGATTTGCAATTCCGCCCTTCATTTTCGAGAGTCGTTTGGGTTTATCTGTATATTTAATACCATATATTTTGCTCTAGTTGTTTTACTTTTTTACTTGTTTTGTTTTTCGTTAACCTTACCACTAAATAATCAGGTATTTTTTTCTGAATGTTTCTCTCTGTTCATAAAATAATCACGCAAGACCGACTGAATAGTTCTTATGCGGCATGTGGAGTTAATTTAGCATATTTATGTAAAAGACGGCGAGGAGGATGGATTCCGGTGTTCGCAGCATTTCTCCTCCCACTAGTCACGTGATAATTACCATTGACGTTACGTCATTAGTACGATGTAACTCTTAATCATTGTTTTTTTGTCGATTACGGAAAGATTGCATTATTGCATGTTCAGTCCCACGCTAAGTGCGTATAGTTTTGTGCAGCTTCGAACAGGTGTCTTCAGAAGTGAAGTGTCCATAGCGGCCAGAAAAAACATCGCTTTGCGACTCCACTGACGACAGAGGCAAATATTCCCGGTTGACACGCCCACAGCATGGGTACACACAGCTCTAATAAAAGAATATTATACTGTCAGTATACCGGAGAGTGAACAGATGCGATGATGGGAAGTATCAGCTTCGATCCGATGGACTTTCAAAGAATCACCTTGAGACAAAATATGCTCCCAGCGACAAACGTGTTTGATTAAATGCACAGACGTTTTTATTTCATCGCGATCCAGGAAGTTGAATTTTCCGAAAAGCCGGTAAAACATCTCGAGTTTTTTTTTTTTTTTTTGACCCAACTACCTCAGTGTCATCACAAATCGACTGAAGGGAGAAAATAATTCAAGCAAGCGAAGCATCATAAAAACGTGGAAGCTTGTTCGCTGTAACGAAATGGATCGTTTTGCAGCTGAGTGCCTTGTGTCAATGTCTAATGGTCCTATTGTCCACAGTTCTAAAGGGAACAGTAGAGAAATCAGACCAGATCCTGCCTCTGTCCCAAGAAACGGAATGGAACCCATTGACCTTCTGGCGAAAGACAACTCCAATCTCTTTATGGTAGCTAGGATTTTGGCGGATTTAAACCAGCACACCCCCGGTGTTTCCGAACAGGGAAAAGTAAGGGAAGATAACAAATTAACAACCCTTTCGAGAGAGGATGGAAACACTGCCACACCTACCGCTCTGCACGGCGACCACGGTCTCAAAGCAAAAAGAAAACCTGTAATTTGTCACATTCTGCACGAATCTGCACAGAAAAAGCACAAATGCCACTATTCAGGGTGTGAAAAAGTTTATGGAAAGTCGTCCCATCTTAAAGCCCACCTAAGGACACACACAGGTCAGTCGGAATTTAAGCAGGTGTTCATTGTTGCTTAGAAAATTGTGTATAAAGTGAGGAGAACACAATAAAACACTATAACTGAGTAATTGTTGTATTCGTCTGTGGTTAACAAAACAGTTATATTAAACACCGGTGCGTAACAGATAACTAAAGTAATTTAATACTGTCGCTTCCGAAAGAGTTCTGATAAATGTGAATATGTTTTTGATCAATTACATTGCAGTGCAGTACTTTTTAAACCTAGTGAAAGAGTTCTGAAGCTTTCATTCATAACCCGGGTCAGGGCTGGGCGGCCGCTGAAAAGTATCGTGTCAAACGAGGACAGTACGCTAGAAATAAACGTGGCTACAGGTAACGTGCACCTTCTGCACGAATAAAGCTGCAATTAAATAATAATAATGCCTAAAGATGTGAAACTGAAAAAAGAATATACCAGAATACGTAAATGGGAAATGAAACAACGCCGTCGGGTGGCCTGTATGCGTTCATTCAGATGTAGTGCACATTTCGCAGTGTGTTTTTCACTCTTTTGAGGTGTAGAATAACCAAAAAGCGCAGCGGAAAGTGTGGGGGCTGGTGCGACTGCAGTCGCGCGCCTGCCTCTGAGCTTCTTTGTTGTGATGCGCCACACCCCCGCCCCCCCAACGCCGGCTGCCAGCTGATCTGACCGGCAACAGACTCAGCTAGCAGACCTCCGAGGGACTGAGTCTGACGATCGTAAGCCCATCTGTACCATGTGAAAACAGGTCTTTGGCCAAACTTTACACCCCACCCAAGCAGTGTGTCGACAATGCAGAGCAGAGAAGGGGTTACCTGCTTAATGCATCACGCACAAGAAGGGTGGGTAGGTAGGTGGGTGGGCGGTGTTTGTGGAAGTCGTTCACCCAGGTGTTTGGAAATTCACTTTTTAAAAAATATATTAGAATATGCACCGTGGTTTATGACACACTAGCAACAATGTTCAATTCTTTGCAAAATGATTGAACCCACATGTGCAATAAAACACTTGTTACTGTGGGACACTTACCGTTTGATTTAAAATTATTATTATTTTTTTTACTTAAGTCAGGTATCTTGCTTTTTTACTGTATTGTTGTATTAAGTTATAGGTTGGATGGAAGAAGGTTATCCGACGGAAACCAAGCTTTGACCAGTGTTTTACTGAGCCATTAGGATTCCAAAGGCATTATTTCAAACAGTCAAGCATGCGAAGAAAATCGTTTTAGTATAATCAGATTTCCAGGCTCATAACCTTATCTCAGAGCACTACTATGCATTCAAAAGGAATTTCTGTATGGCAATATGAAACATTTAAAAGCATTATTTCCCTTGGTACAACATGGTAATTGCAAAACACATCTATTGATTTATTTAGAATTTACGAAATTATGTACCTGAATATATGCTTTCTATTTACTTTCATAAATAAAAAATAAATTAAAAATATACTGAACCTCGTATAAATTTACTATATGATTGGATGAAATTTCATAATTGTGTAGAATAGACTACAAATTTTCTGGAATTTTGACACAGCATTTGATACTGAGTCTGGCAGCGCAAGCATTCACATTACGCTCTAAAATGGCCCGCTAATAGATAAAAATGGGAAAAAGCGATTCCAATGGCTACTCTAATGTAATGCCATGTTTTAGAGGTACCTAAATTATGTACATTTATTGTTATTTAATTAATTTCTAATTTTTAATTCAAAGCTGCATCATTTGAATTTCTTTTAGATTTTGTCTGAATTGGTCCCAGGCTGCAACTGTTTTACTTCCCTGCTTTTTCTTGTGAGCGACTCAAAGTTTTCTAGTGAAATAAGCCCGAACATCTCCTTCATTTTAACAGTCAGCTCAGGCGGGTCATGTGAGTTCAGAGACTCCGGATCAGCCTTCCTGGGCAGGGTTTTGAATACTCAGCAGATTCTGGAACAGTCTCTACTAGTAGAGCACAGAGAATCGGGATTCCAGTAAAACGCCACAGCTCAAATGATGAGGGAATTAAGTGTTATGAAAACAAATACATGAGCCAAGAGAGCTGAGTCCTCACTTGACTCAGTAATTTCCTACACTTTCAGTGCCCTTACTTTTGAACTATTGCTGATTATGGCCCTGGTAAATTAGTCACTCTGGGCTTCTGCAGATCTGGAATGGGCCAGGAAACCCCAAAGACAACATTAGTACCTATTTTGCTTCTTAGATCCTACCGAAGAACTCAGTAGAAAAGAATGGTGTCATAAATATGTCAGGCTGATGAACACAGAATAATGTGCGCACAATGCATAATTTGCTTATTTCTTAAAAGTCACAAAGAGTTACTAAGATAATTATTAATCTGCAAATTATTCATATTCTTCTGGGCCAATATAGATGTTATATGTGACATGCTTTTTAAAAAAGCTTAAAGCGAAGTGAAGCTAATAAGCAGAAAGAGATTAGCCAGTTAGCAGATAGCGGACAGTTATATTCTTTTATTAGCCGCACCTGCTAATGTACAGCAGACCTATTTAGCAGTTATTCGCTGAGGATTTAGCCTGAGATTATGCCTGCTGAGTTACCATTTGGCGGAGGGGTCATCAGGGGTTGGCGCTTATGTGTTTATTACTTAAGCATTGGATGTTACATCAGTGTTGGGGTAGAGCGAGACTGGATCTAACAGAGAAGATAAGTGACCTACTGGCACAAACCCTAGGAACCGTGTGTTTACGCCCAGACAGAAGAAAACTGGGTCCTAGGCAGTTCCCATTCCCATGGAGCACATTGTCCTTGCTGCTCAGAGCTGAGTCACAGCCAGGAAGACTGTGGCAGGCGGAGGCTGAAGGTTACCAGACAGCTTTGTCTGGTTCCTGCTAATGGGAGACACCCCCCTCCCTCCAGACTCAAGCTATAGATCTTTGAAGTGCGAAATTGCGAGCGGTCAGCAAGAACTGGGAAGTGAACTCTAAACTAGGAAGAGCACACTGAACGGGGGAGCACTGGTCAGGCACTGTTATCTTTTCAGTGACGCGGTGACTTCCTCTTAAATGGTCGTCTCAAGTAAGTACAAAGATGTTTATGATAGTTTGTCGGGAGTAATTATTAGGACTGGGTTCCCGGAGCGCAGTGTAAGGACAACCTGGAGACAGAAATAATTCACAGCCATTCTACATGCACACAAGATTTGAACCCCCGTCCGTTTAAGTGTGTGGGTGCAGAATTAGCCACAGAGCCACTGCGTATGAATGTGTATAAATGGGGTCTTTCTATAAAAGTATCTCCATTGATCATTATAACATTTTGTAGAATAAAGAACCAGGGATATTTCCTGATCCCAAGTCACATAAAGCAGTCTGTCCAACAGTTTTTAGCATTTTATTTTTCACTAGGACTCTCTGGGCCCCCAACATAAAAGTCAGAACCCACATTCCACTGTGATCAGTCAGCAGCACTTACAATATAAGAGGGCCATCTTTTCAAATCTTATTGTAGACACGATTTTGTTTGTTATCGAAGAATCTGTGTTGTGATGAGGTCCTTTTCATGCATTAATACACACGATTCTTCTCATTTCAATAAAGTGCAACCTTGTGTAGAAGGTTTTTCATTTTTTTTTATTTCAACTGCTACAGACACAGTAGAATGTGACCCAAGCAAACCTGCCCAGACAATGACTATGGCTACAGACTACAAACTATGGCTGTCATTGTATGCCTGGCCAAAGCAAGCTGGGAAAATGCTGGTTTGGGGGAGTGGAGGGCGGGAGCAGGGCAGCAGGAGACCGAAAGTAAACCAGGTCAGGGTGTGAATGGAATATCTCCCAATCGTGTGTGAATAACAGAGTGGAAAAGGCCATCCTTCAGGGTAAGGCATGCAGCAAGCAGATTTTAGTCTTGTGTCCCTGTTTTTTTAAGAGGCAGAGAGTGAAAGGGAGCCAAAATATCTTGTGGTCTCTTATCTGAAAGGTGGTCTGGAAACGATTCCCTCAGCAGCCCCATCGACGAGTAGATCGGAGAATCTTTGGCGTCTCAGACCTCCTGCCTATTCAGGGAGCAGGGGTAGGGTGCAGGGGAAGAGATCAGCGTGCAGCTCTGAGGCCTGGCTGTGGCGGTGGTCTACACCATGGTGTCAGTTACCAGGGACAGGAAGAGAGGGATGTGCAAGCTGCGGAGCTCAGCTGGCTTCTCCTCCCTGAGCCCAGTGCCATCCTGCGCGAAGGCAGCCGGGGCTGCAGTGCGTGTCAGGGCCAGTCAATGCCTGCCATTGAGGGGGGTGTGCAGACGACCCGATTAGCACATTCGCCAGAGCGCCGCGGAAGAAAAACACACTTTGTGGCTGAACTGTGCAGCTGAAGGTTAAACAAGGATCTCTTTGGGTCCTGCCTCTGTGGAAGGTTGTGTGAAATGCATTGGCAGGGCTTGAAATGAACGTGCGAGCATGAATGTCTATAGTTCACTGAGGCAGTCCTTGTGCATTGTGAAAGTATGAATGGTGACACATGAGAGCCCCAGAGGTTAGGCGTGAGATTAAGGTGAGAGCAGATATGACTTCCAGTTAAGTGTGAGCATTTTCTTTTCTGGAATTTGAACGTGCAGCCTTTGGGTCCTGGGTCCCAGCGCCATAGGTGCATTCTCTACACCCCTCCCCCATGCTGGGAAGCCGGTCTGCAGGCGCTTGCGACACCCAGATGGGGGCAGCGTGACCGCTGCTATCAGAGAACAGGAACTGCGAGCAGATGGGAAACAGCTTCGGGTGGAGGCAGGGTTAGGGTGCGGTCTTGTCGCTGAAACATTACCATATTCCACCCCTCGTGCCAGTTTGCCACTGCAGCTGACACATTAACTACTCTGGCATATTTTTTAATCTAAAGCCCACTTTGTCTACTTGGCTATGGTTTGATATTCGCAAACTGGGTGAATTGGCCATTTCCTTTTGCGCTTTAAGTTAACTTATAGATAAGCAGTGCAGTCTCATAACCGCTAGACTACCACAACTACTGAGGGGGGTTGTGCCTTAGGC